AATCTGAACAACCAACTCAAATGATGAGAGCTCATGGGTTGAATAAAGATCAATTTATAAGAAAAAATGTTTTAAACTAAACGGAAAATGATGGTACTCGCTAGAAAACTTGCATTACAATCATCGTCGGAGAACCGTTTCGTCGTATTTACCGAAGAGGAAAATGAAGGAACCAGTGGGGTAATTTAATGAAAAGCCAGGGCATGGTCAGAGAAAGTGGCTCCCCATGTTATGAAAGAAGATTTAATTTCCAGTTGCAGACAGGGAAATAGATCTGGTTGGCTCTCGCTTTTTTCCATGCCAGCCAACTTGGAAAATAATAAATTCAAATAAATCTTTAGACCAACGCCATTGGCCATTGGCCATTGGCCATTGGCCATTGAACCCCAACTTAGTCAAGACAATCTGAAATTTCCAAGACATCCAAAATACATTCATCACGACATTCCATTTCATGTTTGATTATTATTATTATTATTATTTCTTTAATTTTGATTTATAAAGATAGTGCACAAAATAGGAGGCAAGCTGAGAGGAGTCGTTAATATAAATGAGACTTGTTTAATCGGTGTTCATAAATATTAGATAAAAATTATTTATTTATGAGTTCAAGGTATTTATTTAGTATATAATTTTAAATTGATTAAAAGTATTATTAATTACATGACATGTCCTTTTTTATGATAAATTATATATTTAATCATCAAATTATTATTTTGAGTCTATTTTGACTATTTAATTATTATTTTTAAATCACATGTAAAATTATATTTTGGTTCCTTTTTATCTCCCATCACTAAAAATTAATGATGATAATTACGTGTCATCATAAAATAATATTACAATACTATTAAAAATATTATCATATCAATAGTTTTATTTATTTTTAATAATGATCAAAATAAAAATAATAATATTAATTATAATTTTTAAATTTAAATTAAATAACCAAAACCGAACTAAAATATATTCTTCTCATAAACCTAGGTGATAATTCCTTATACTCTCTTTGTCTCGTTAAATTTGTTTCTTTTGTATTTTAAAATTATCCCACTTAAATTATCTATTTGAAAAAAATCAATAACTTTTAGGGGTAACATTTCTTTTTCTACCTTTTTTTAAATTTGTCAATAAAGTAAAATTTAATTTTTTTTTCAAAATAAATTATCATCTTAATTTTTTTACAATATGTCCCTACATAAAAGTTTTTTTTCTCAAAATTATATGAAAAAATAAATAATAGATTATAATATAATTGAAGTGCAATCTATGATTGACTAAGTCAGCAAGAATCAAGATGAGGTCAGTTAGCCGAGACAATCCCAATTCTCATACTTCGGAACTTCCTGCCACTTTCATTAGTTCTGATCGATTCAATTTATTTTAAATAGTTGTAATTTTTAATTTATAAATTAAAATCAAGTTTTAAAAAAAACAATCAGCAACGTGGATTTAAGGAATATTAAACACCATAAAAATATTATTTTATTGAATATTTTAACTATCTAAAGTTATAATATAATCCTTTGATTAGAGATTTATTACTTTATTAAATTTCTCGACTATTAAAAACTATAAAATAGTCATCTAACTATTTATGTTTTCATAATCATCTTGCTCCATTAAAATATTGATGATCGTCTGAATTAAATGTTAACAAATTGATTGAGATATGATAAAGTATGATCACATAATCCTTTAAATTGCGTAACCGTTTGAGATTTTGAAACACGTTTATCATATCCTAATTAATAGGTTAACGTTAAACTTAAATGACAATCAAAATTTAATAAAAAATGATTTTAAGACCTTAATAATTAAAAAATTATTTTATAACTTTTAATAGTTAGAAATTATAAAAATATAATATTTTAAAATTAAAATTTATTTTATAAATTTTAATAGATAAAAAACTCAATAAATAATATTTTAATATCGACCATCGTTTACTTCACCTTTTAAATTTTATAGAAAAAATAGATCATCATTTATCCCCAAAGAAAGTGGAAAGAAGATGACAGGATCAGGCAATGAATGTCTTATCTCCACGCAATATGACCAGTCAGAGACGAAGACACTTGTCATTTAGCTCATTCGGCGGTGAAAAAAGCAGTAAGCCCAGACCCAGCAAATTGAATTTAAAAACCTCAAATAAATAATTATTTAAATAAATAGAACTTTTCAAATAAATATTGGGAAGAATAGCATCCAAATCGTTCACATAATACGATATTGCTGTCAACAAACTGTATGTTAAGTTCTTGCACCCTTCAACATGTGAGTTACGTTTGATTTAGGTGTACTTTTCAAATAAGTTAATAAAACAATTATATAAAATGACATTGCGTATTATGAATGGTGATGTACCTTTTATGATCCAAAAGATTGCGAGATTTATGAGGGATTTCGCGGCTTGTAAAGCGCAAGGTTCTTTCCAATTTCCTAACCCACTTTAGTGTCCATAGCCTTGTTCAGAAACTAGTTACAGGTGGGAAACTGAACTTTTTTTAAATATTTAATTATAAACGCATAGTGTTGTAATTTATCTTTAATGTGACTATAATATGATTATATATAAGAAACTTTAAGCGGTGTAAAAATGACGTTGAAAATTGTTAGAAATTATGGTTTTGTGAAGGAAGAAGAAAAAATGGTTTGATAGGCATATTGAAGTGTTATTTATGGCTTGTAAATATGAGTGATTTCAGAATTTATATGTTTAGAGGTATAGTATTACAACTTATATTTATGTTAAGACTAATTTGACCACAAACGAGATATTTTAATAGGGTAAAAATTGTGTTAGAAAAGGTTGGAATGCATGATTTGGTGCATGAAGAAATAAAAAATGAAAACTAAGAAATATATGTTTTTAAATAAAAAGAAATTATGCAAAAAGCTCATTTAATTGATACGTAGACCTGATCGATTGGGATATTTGTTCTTCGTGTGTTCGAGATTCCTACATATAGAGCATAATTTCGTTTTTTCGATTCTTTCTTGATGTTCGGCCAAATCATCGTCACAAAAAATTCGGGTTGACCGTGGACGATCGATTTTTTTATAGTAGGGCATAATATGGTCGTATTGTAGGTTCATCATCAGCTTCATCCAGATCCCATTCAATTCCAATTGGAGGAAACCCGTATTCATAAACCTTGAATATAGTTTTAAGTAAGTAAATCCTATCAACGAATCTCATGTGGGGTGTCTAAACAGGAAAAACAACAACAATGGTATGCGCACATGGGTATTTGAAAGTTTGGAAGAATCCGCACTCGCATATTTTTTTCTCGTAAATTAACCATGTATGCATTGTGTTGCATACCTTTCAACGGCCTCACAAATTTCGATACACATAATAATGACATTTCGCGAGAGAAACATATGGCTCATATCGCGTTGGAATGTTGCTGGAATGTTTGTAATTTACTGATGAGGTCTGGGTGGATTTGGTGGCCACCTGCCATCCAATCAACTGCTTACATTCCCAAGGTTGCGAAAAAAGTTGTCAGTCGATGATACGTCGCTTTGCAACGAACGTGATAGGCAAATGGCGCACTCGCTTTAGTAATGAATTAATTACCTCCGCCAAGTTCGTTGTCATGTGACCATATCGTTTACCCCCATCAAATGATCGAAGCCATTTCTTTTTTGGGATTCTAGAAAGGTAGTTGAAGCCCTAAGAATTCATGTGTCGAAGCATATGGCTCCTATCGCGTTGGAATGTTGCTGGAATTTTGCAATTTACTGATGAGGTCTGGGTGGATTTGGTGGTCACCTGCCATTCAATCAAATGCTTGCATTCCCAAGGTTGCAAAAAAAGTTGTCAGTCGATAATACGTCGCTTTGGCAACGAACGTGATAGGCAAATGTCGCACTCGCTTTAGTGATGGATTAATTTGAAATAATTTTGGTAAATATATGATAAACTGAGAAGGGTGAAAGATGTACCCATTCGAAGTACCATTAGACGCTCATCTTGACTCTTAAAATAGTTTGCGGTAATATGTCGTAAATAGTACCGGTAATAAATATTGTGCGGTTGGCAAGACAAGCCGATACGATGGAGTGCGTATTTGATACCAACGCCTCTGTTAGAAATAAGACAAATCCCATTATCTCTATCCTGCATCACAGGTCATAGAATATATGTTTGTATGTTCGTAAGAAAGAAATCCCAAGAGTCTATATCTTCATTTTCGACAATTGCGAAGGTGATGGGAATCGTGTTTCTGTTATCGTCTTGTGGAACAGACAATAACATTATTTGAGTGTATCGACCATATAACCAATTGTCATCGATTTGAACAATCGACTTGCAGTTTCAAATTGCATTAATGCATTGCAGAAAAGTCCAAAAGAGTCAGTATAATTGGTAGACACCTTGTACAACATGATCATTTTCGTACGCTGGGACTGTTTCCAATTTCACAATTGTTCTCGTAATGTGTTTCTACATCAGTTTCAGCCATGATCGTAATTAAATGTATGATTTCTCCCATTGGCCGAACAATTTTTATTGGGCTTGTACCTTGCATACCATACTTTGTGGTAGTCAATTGGGTATCAGTATAGTGATATAACTGAAGTAATACAGCTCGTAATCGTAACACTTGGATTTGATTTTAGCAGTGGAATGAAGGCTTCAGAAAGCATGTGTACATCCAGGCTATGATGATCTTGATTCAGGATATTCGCGGTGCATGTATGTGGTTGGACGTATTTTGTGAGTTTCCAAAGGTTGTTCATCGTCTTTAATCGTGATACACGAACCTTTCAATTACATCCATACTTCTTGTGGAGACATTTAGCGACGTACTTATCCACACAATTTTTTTCACAGTTGACGTGATGAAGCGATGTATGCTGTAGTTCTTGATTGCAGCCACAACTTATTCTTTTGTCCTAAAAGTCATTCGTAAAAAGAGTAAATAAAATTGTAAACTTATCAATAAACAAATCAAAATAAATAATAAAAATTAAAAAATTATATTAACCTGAAAACTATTCCAACATAGAGATCAACATCACAATATTGATTGTATTGCTCAATATGTGAGAATTGGGAAAATTTCGGAGTGTTGAATGCTTCCATATCAATTATTGTAAAGTGCGATGGTGGCTGGTAATAAGAAATAGGCATTGTAGCATGTGGAATCGTTGTAGTCGCACCGTATTCTTCGTTGTTTTCTATTTCTAGTGGCATGTCAAGGTCTTTTGGTTCTTCATAAAAGGGGTCTAACTCATCACCATCGGGATCGAGCTCTCTTATTGGTTATTCGTCAGAATGATCCCCTTCAAAGCAGAATAGTTCAACCTTGTTTAAATCAAAGTTAGTCACTGTTGCAGGTGTTCGTTGATCACAAGACCGCTCACAAACCAGTTCCCCAAGATCAACGTCACGCATACCACTAAAAGAATATCTCCCCATATGTGTTGAGACGTCATCCGCAACAGTGATATACGTTGAATATTGTCCAGATGAGAAATCATCAAACATATTAAACGTGGATTGTTGTGTTGGTGGCATGTTCAAGTCAAACTTGAATATGGAAATGCAAGAATGCCTTGGCATCAAAGACGATGATGCAGCGAAATCGTTTTGTGTACCGTGTGTACTTAACAAATTGAAGTCGTTTCTCAAATTTTTTGTTGGACTCCACCATTTTAATTAAACTCGAACTCTGCTCATCTCCAACTTGGCACACTAGTACATCATCAATATCCAAAAACAATGCATACAAAAACAGTGAGTGCCGACCATCATTTGTATATCATGATTATCCTCAACGATGTATATTGAGTTCGTTAATGGTTTTAATGACGTCGGTAATCGATACTTTAAGGGAACAATTTTGTATCATGAGCATGTGGGATATTTTTCTTCACTTTTTTCATCAACTTGTTATTCGTTAACTTCTTTGGTAGCGTTATTAGAACAGTGTATGCGGACTGAAACAAGACATCGAGAGATGCATCACGGATAATTTCACCGTTATAATATACCAAAGCGTAAAGTTTTCTCACCTCGACATTTTAGCTGAGTTGTTGCCCGATAATACTGAACTAGGTTTTTTTATTCTCGAATAACCTTAAGATTTACAAGACACAAATTTCAGATAGTTCGTGTATTGTATGGTGCAAGATCATATTATCTCGTGTCTTGTAAGATGCGTGGTTCTGCTAACGTACAATAGATATCGCGAGTTACATGGTGCAAATTTCAGTGAAACCTATTTTTATTAATTTATTTGAAAAAATAACTCCCAATATGAATCAACTAATGGAAAATAGTTCCCTTAACTAAAAGTTATTCGATAATCATATGTAGTTAATTAACTCAAAATAAAATAGTTTAGTACAAAATAATTAAATAGTTCGCATAACAGAAAATATTTTCATTAACTTAAAATAAAATAGTTTAGTACAAATATTTCAGTTTTGAAGAACGAAATAAAGAATAGCTAATAATGCCTTTGTTCAACAGTTCCACACGCGGACGTAATTGAGGTTCCTCTTTCTCTTCAGCAATATCATCATCATATGAACTAGCAGCTGTATATAGAATCGATCTACCATTGGTATTGAAACCGGATCATTGTAGAATATGCTCTGCGACGACTTATTCTTAACAATATCGGATCCAAACTCAATCGCCAATTGTGTAGGTTGTGAATTCAACTGATCAAAGATGTTAGAGATGAGACCTTTCGAGAACTGCCCCATTTGCTGAAATATTGATTGAGTTGAGTGGGTAAAGAAAGGGTTAGGGTGTGTCAGCGGTGTCTGAAGAGGTTTTTGTGTTATTACTGATGAAGATTATGCACCTTTTTGTCTTATTCTTCTCTGCCTTGACTCCCCCATGTTGACTCCCGTTGATCACTTTGTGGAGGAACATATAATTCTCGTGCTCGCTCCTTATCACTCAATATATATGGCATCCCATATAACTCGTACTACTAAAAATAATCGTATATCACGTTGTGGTCGAAGATTGGTTGAGTCATGGGCATTCTCTCAAATATTCGGACCCACTTGTTAAGATAAATTGTATTATGGTCAATTGGTGCAAGTCATCTAAGCAAGGTCGATGTTGTAGAATCGATTGGACGTAGTTAAATTGTCGAAGGACGCGATCAATATGATGTCACTCGGCTATCTCATACAAGATCAGCGAGACTGACACGTTGTAGACGGGCGTATTAGTCACCATAATCTCATGTGGTATACAGTCAGCAATAGCATCATCGTAGTAAGGCATCCACAAGAACTATATAATTAAAACTACATAACTTTGTTAGCTAAAAACCTTAAATAAATTAAATTATTCTAAAACTATAATATAAAAGTCGAAGGAAAATATTTTATTACATAATGTCCAAACTTATTTATCAATAGTCTGAAGTCTCGTTGATGTATTGGTAAGTGGGCGTGAAAGGTTTCATCAGTCCACCTATCATTAATACAATACAATAACAACAACAACAAAACCCTATTCTCATATGCAATGGGGTAAGGGGGAGGTAGGGTAGTAGGCTGCCCCCAACGCCAAGATTGAGAGCAGCTTCCGTGAAAGACTTCATGCAGTCAGAAAATCAAAAATAAAGATAAAATGCAATGCATGTATAAATACATAAATAAATACATAGTTGAACAGTCTTCATATGCAGTCTTCAAATGTTTGTCTGTAATGGAAAGTAATCATTGCAAATAAATCCCTGCGTAAAAATCTCTGCATATAGACAGAAACGTAAGACCCGACTAAATTTAAAATGATGAAACCTAAAGAGAAAGATACACAGAAGTCAACGTTAGCAAACTACGAGAATGAATTAAGTCAAAAGGGTTAAAACTTAAACTAAAGCAATAGTACTCCGTTATCCTAGTTCTAAGCCTACATAAATTCTAATGACAGAAACGTATATAAAGTAGAAGTCATAGAAATAATTACAAAGGCATTTAAAGGAAGGCAAAGATATTACACCCTATGTCTGAGATCCACACTACTCGGCTACCCTGGTCTTAAGTCTCCATGCTTTCTTATCAGAGGTCATGTCCTCGATAAAGTCTAAATCCTTCAAATCAGATCTCAAGCAGCCTTCCCACTTCCGCTTTGGTCGTCCTCTCCTTCTGGCACCGTCAACTGTAATCGACTCTACCCTCTTGACCGCATCCGACGGTTGTCGCCTAAGGACATGCCCAAACCACCGTAGTCTTCCCTCCCTCAATTTTTCGGATACATGCACCACCCCCAAGGACATCCTAATAGCAGAGTTTGGTGTCATGTCCCACAGAGTTCTACCACATGGCCATCGAAGCATTCTCATTTCTACGGCCTCCATCCTCCTTACGTGATCCTTCTTGATTTCCCAACATTCTGATCCATACAGCATCGTTGGTCTTATTGTCATTCTATAAATTTTCCCTTAAGTTTTAGAGGCACCTTCTTGTCACACAAAACTCCAGTAGCAGCCCTCCACTTTAGCCATCCTGCATTTATACGGTGTGTAACGTCATCATCTACACCACCATCTTTATGTATCATAGACCCTAGGTACTTGAAACATTCTTTTGAGGGGATAACGTGTCCTTCTATGCATACTTCTACATCTTCATCGATTTGGTTCCCACTGAAGTTTGAACATAAATACTCTGTCTTTTCAATAATGATCCTTAGACCTTTTTCTTCCAAAGCAGTCTTCCAGGCAGTCAGTCTACTGTTCAGCTCAGTTTTTGTTTCAGCAACTAGGACAATGTCGTCAGCGAAAAACATACACTATGGAACACCGTCTGGTGTCGCACAATAGATGTCGTCCATAATCAAGGCGAAGATGTAAGGACTAAGAGCCGACCTCTGGTGGAGTCCGATTTCCACCGGGAATGCCTTGGTGTCACCAACTGTAGTCCTGACGTAAGTAGTAGAATTGTCATATTTATTAGTAATATTATAAAAAAATAGATAAATATTAAATAATTTTTTTACCTCTTAAGTAACGGAAATTCATACGAGACATGTGTTTTAAGAATCGGGCATAGAAAGGGCATTCGGATCAAGGCCCACGACTGCATAAACAATAAACACACTTCAATGACATTTTTCTTCAGATATACGACTCTACAAAGTTGCCATAACAAAAATGTCAAAATTATCGAACCCTAACTTATATTTCTTGAATCACTCAAATTTTACAAATGATTAAACCACATAAATGCGCACCTTATTTCGGGATTTGTCTGGCATTAAAATCCCCCAATAACTAGTGTATATGCGCACGAGTAAATCATTTCAAAATATTAATAAAATAATATAACTACTTAATTTAAAAAAACAAACAAATAAATTGAAATATTAATAAATATTTATAAATAAAAATATTTATATTTAACTTCTTAACTTCATACTTCGCATTATGAGGTAGGTTCGTAAAATTTCATCCAAAAATTATTTTTTATTTTTCCACCATGGCGTTCATCATCAGGAGGATCAATTTCGAGCAATATCTCACAAACGTTTCTAGAGGCGTCTGCAACACCAGTAAAAGCTACTCCATCAATAGGTAGTCCCATATGAAATGCAACATCTTGCAAGGTAATAGTTGTCTCCCCACACGGTAAATAGAATGTGTGTGTCTCCAGTCTCCATCTTTCTACTAACGCCTTGATAAGTGGATAATGCAATTTCACACCCTCACCAGTTATACTACTGATATATCTTAAACACGCTAAATGTAAATACTCAATAATATACGCATCGGGCAGTGTCACGCGATTTATATGACACCCACGTTCATATCCCTACGAAATATAAATATTAAAAATTTATTTAAATAAAAAATAAGCTAAATAAACAAATCAAAATAATATTAATTAATTTCTCTCGTCATTTCGCCTCTAATAATCGAATACATAACTTCGATTATGTCTTAATAGACTCGCCGCCATAATATGAAATCTTTGAATCTTTGAATATATGAATGGGATACATGGTGTGGTGATGAAAAAGAGTGTAGGGCCTAATTTATAGACCTTCTTGCATCCGGGGAAGTACTGAAAACACATAATTCCAGTACTTCGTGTTCTGTAAGGTGCAAGATTGCTTTAATTCAAATTCAAATTTCAAAACTTTCATAATATATTATAATTATTTTTTTATAAAATATCTATTTTAATTAAAATATTTATATATATATTTTAATTATTTATTATATTTAATAATTTAAATTATTAATTATTATTATATTTATTTATTATAAATAAATTTTTCATTATTTCAAATTTTAAAAAATAAATTATAATTATTTTTTATAATATATCTATTTTAATTATTATATTTATATATTATTATATTTTAATTATTTATTATATTTATTAATTAATATTATTACTTATTATTATTATATTTATTTATTATAATATAATTTTTCATTATTTCAAAATTGAAAAAACATATTATAATTATTTTTATAAAATTTCTATTTTAATTATTATATTTATATATTATTATATTTTAATTATTTATTATATTAAATAATTAATATTATTACTTGTTATTATTATTATTATATTTATTATAATATAATTTTTGGATCATAAAGGGTTTTATTAAATAGGTTGTTATACAAAATCTGAAAGAACCTTACACTTTGCAGGCCGCGAGGTCCTTCATAAATCTCGTGATATTTTGGATTATAAAAGGTACCTCACGCTTCGTAATGCGCGAGTTCATTTTATCAAATTATTTTATTGACTTACATGGAAAATGTGCCAACGTCAGACATATCTCATTTTTTAGAGGGTTTGAAGATTTAAAATGAGGTTTGTAGGTTGCAAGGTCGTATTTCTTTAAATAATTATTTATTTGGGGGTTTTTAAATAAATTTGCCCCTGACCTAGTATCCAACACCAACTCAAGAATCAAACATTTTAGGCTTAATACAAAAATAAGTTATCAAACTGTATCTCCAAAAAATATTTTAGTGCCTAAAGATTTTTTTTTTTTAAAAATAGATATTTAACGTTATATTTTTAGGTGTTTGATTATTAATCATCGTTAAAAATCTTCGTTAAATAA